CTGTTAGCCATAGGCAGACAAGGATTGAAGTTACATAGTAAAAGCTATATATATGTGATTGAAGCTGGAAGAGCTCCAGGCTTCACATCCCTCGACTACTTCAGTGTGTCGAGGGCCAATAGCTACCTTGTTTTGATCCTACACACACTACTTGAAGGTTGCATATATTGAGAGATATGTCAAACTTCAATCAGTGCAGCTAAGGTTGCACTACTAACATGTATGCATGCCTTTGGCGATGATAATTATTGAGGTTCTAGAGCTAAGCTCACTTCTAAATCCACCTTTCTTTGAGCCACTACCCCTACATCTGTGTGTGTTGTGTGCCAACGTCTGTAATTTCAAGTACCGACGCCCCCCCCCCAAGTTCCCCCCAAGCCCCCCCCACATCGTTTTATTACTCTGTGACCATGTCCGACGCCACGACCAACGACAAGTCGGTCACGGACCTCAAGTTCAACGGCCGGAAGGTCATGTTCACCGCCTGGAAGGCCCGCATCATCGCGCACCTCAACTCCAAGTCGACGGAAGACAACTACAAGCGTGTTATGGACGACAAGAAGCCCCTCAACTTGGCGCACTCTGATTCGTTGCAATTTAAGCCAATCATCAACGACGTCGATTTCGCGGCCGACATGCCGCCTTCCGCGACGGCAGCGAGCCTGGAGGCTGAAAAGATGAAGCGCTTCTACTACCTGCGCATGCAGGAGAGCCTGATCAGGAGCTTATTTGGTAAAGTGTTACCAAATGAGTTTCTGATTCAGCTCCCCGGCACGATCAACAACCCTGACCTCAACCTCTCTGACGTCTGGGCGCGCCTCGAACGCGAGTATGCGCAGTCGTCGCTCGATGTGAGCACGACCTTGTACCTAGAGTTTATAACTCTACCTACGAAACCATTTAAGTGCGTCTCTTAATTGATCAAGAGAATGCGCTCTTTGCAGAATAATGCAGAATATCAGCTTAATGACCTGTATTCGAAAAACATAGGAGTACCTTTGATATCCGAATATCAAATCTCCCAGGCAGTTGTGGCGGCACTTCCCCACGAGTACTTTGGCTATAATGTGAAACAAACGACTGACGGTTTTAAACTGTCTACCATCGAGACACTAGTGAAGCAGGTGTTTAGCGGCAAGTCTAGTGAGGCTATTGCAAACATGTCTAGCAAGCACCCAAAACGTGAAGTGCACGTCAACCAAGCTAAGGTTCACCGTAACCAAGCTAATAAGAGAAAGTCAACTGCCTACTCGGAGTGTTTTTACTGTCACGGCACCGCTAATGTGGACGGCAAAGGCCATCTAAAGGCCGACTGCGCCTTGCTTAAGAGCGACCTCAGCAAAGGAATCGCACGCAAGAACTTCAAGGAGGTTCCTGCAAAGCGGATCAAGGTGTCAACCAACACTGCTGTTGCAACGGCCAAAGGTGGCACCTTATTGGTCAAGAATTTGGGCCAATCAAAGGCGAGTAAATCCTGTTATCCGGATAGCCAATCAAAGGTTGGAAAAATTGGGTCTGGCCAATCATCCACCGCCAAGTCCGATGATCCGGACAGCCAATCAGAGAGTGACACGGAATTTTCCGGGAACATTGCAGCCCGCCTGAGTTCGATGGCGATCCCCGACATGGACGAACTCCCGGACAGCGGACCGGACAAGTGGTCCTGCCTGACCAGCATCGCGCATAGTCTCGCGGACCAGACAACACGTATGGAAGAGGAGGTAAGCCGCCTGGCACCGTATCTACTGAAGAGGTCTAACACCATTGACACTAGTGACTGGGTGTTGGACTCCGGCTGTGGTAGCACATGACGCCGCTCTCAGGGTACTTCTGTAGTTATATAACTAATGATGACTATACCAGAGCTACTAAGTAATTACATTACAAAGTGTAGAAAGTTTAGATGAATGAATATAAGACATTCGTAATGAGTTCACTAATTTCACTCAGTCGTAAGAACATTACAAATGTTACTAACAATGTACTTCGTTTCGATATCGGCAATTCGAGCGTGAACTTCAAGGATACTGAAATCGCTCTTGCAAGCATCCAGCTTTACAACTCGCAATTCAACATTGAGGCTGAGAATTGATGCTGCGAATTACAGAAACAACGCGTTCAGCTTGATCATTCCGACAGGCTCCACGACTGCAACTGTGACAATGACGTTGCAAGATGGCTACTATGAGGTTGATGACTTGAATAACGCTATTCAATTGAAGTTGATTGAAGTTGGTGCATACTTATTGACGCCGAGAAAAATAACTTTGTTTCATCAAAGTGTACACAAACCCTACTTATTACTCTGTTCAAATCGACATGATTAGCGTACCAACGACGTTACCAAGTGGTTTTACGCGTCCCCCATCCGGTCTTACAGCGCTGGTGGTAGTGGTCTCCCTTCTAGTAGTTTCACTCCGCGAGTCACGATTCCTAGCTCGGAATTTGGTAACTTGCTTGGGTTTGAACCAAGTACATTGCCGGCGACTCCTTCTAGCGGCACGTTGAGCTTCCTTTCAACCAAAGCGCCACAACTCAATCCAGCATCGTCATACACCGTCAGATGTAATCTGGTCAATAATGCTTACACAATGCCTCCTGATATCTTGACGACGTTCACAACGCAAGGCACAACTGTCGGGCAAATGATAGCAGTCAAACCTAGTGAATTGGCGTGGTTGAGTGTTACTGATGGTGCTAAGTCTTACATAGAAGTTACTATCAGTGAGTGACCAAGATGGGAATGGTGTCTTCTATCGAGATAACAACATATCGATTCATCTTCTTCTTCGTAGCATCAAAAATAGACAAAAAAAGCTCGAAATGTGCGATTCTTTTTTGGTATGGAATGTTGTCTAACTTAACTCAAGCGAAAGGATCCACCGACTGTCTTAGACTTCTTCATCGATCGAAGCTTAGCCATATGGTCTTTCGCAGCTTGAGATCCTTTAAGAAATCCCTTTCCAGTCATCGATTGAACAAGCCTGCGACCAGCATTAGCAATGTCTTCACCGACGAAAGGCGTGGCAACGTTCTTAACGATGTCTAGAAGTGGCGTCGCATTAATACCACTGAAGATTGATCCACCTTGGAGCTCAGAGTTGTTGTGCTCAGCTTCTCCGTGCGTGATATCAAATCGCGTACCTTTACTGGCTTTCTGAGCTGCGGGAACCTTCTTAGCATTAGCAGGATGCAACAACAGATCGAAGTCATTCGGCTTCACCTCCGCAGCGGACAACGTCAAGGATTCGCCCTTCAATGCTTTCATCAGCTTCGCATATGAGATCTTCCCAACTTTGACACACCGATAACCACTTTCAGTCTTCATATTTGTGCGTCCTTTGGTCGCCTTGTATCTATATCTATGTTGCAGAACTCTTTCAAAAATATATTAATTGAAATCGACAGTCTCAATTTAGACTGAACGTTTTCGGTTTGCTAATCTTCGACGATTTGAATCCGGCAGCGAAACGTTTAAATGATGTCACACCTTGCATGCCACCAATACCAGCACCCGTTTGTGCTTCTGCCTTAACAACCAAGCTCTACATCTTCTTCAGGAGCTCCTCCTCGTTATCGTCAGCGTGTTCCTGATACATAGCGTGCGCGCTTTGTTTCTTCAATGGTCGTCTTACGTTGATCCTCATGATAGCAATGAAATGTTTTCTTGCAGTTGCTTAATCGATAGAACACCCAGTTTATACAAATGACTAGAAAGTTTGCAAAATTCCTGAATATTGCGCTCGTTGCAATTTCCTAGCATCAACTCACCTTTGAGTTTGTCGAGTTCCATCTTGTATTTATCAGCTTCATCCAACTCGTACGGATTCATCAATGGATTGCGCAACGTTTGATCGTACCGCGTGATCTTGAACAAGTCGTAAATGGCCTTCTTGTCATCATTGGGCAGCTTGTCGTACTTACTCGCATCGAACTTCTTATCTGTGATCACATCGTCGACAATACCTACAACTGCTTGAGATATCGGCAACTTTCGTGCGACGCTTGTTCCAGATGGATATCGCAACACGAGGAACCCTTCTCGCAACGCCTTGAGAACAACGAACTTCGTACCGATCTGCTTTTGAAGATGTTCTTTGTTCATAGTCTGAATCCACGTCCGATGAGTTTGTTCAATCGAAGTCCCTTACCAGTCATTGGTTCATCTTTAGCATCATCGAATGCAGATGAGAGATTTTGAATTGTAGGATCGTTAGCATCAACCATTTCAATGTGTTGTTTGGCTTTCTTTCCATCGATCGTAACTGGCCCAGAGGGGCTGAGGTCCTTCGGACCACTAACGGGTACTTTAGTCTCAACGTCGTCTACTATGATAACCATGGGGGATTCTTGTTAACCATGAGGGATTCTTGTTTGAAAACAGCCGCTGGAGTGCCCTTACCTAGTTTTTGCGCTACATAACTCGTTACGTTCTTACTCATCTTCTTCCAATCGAACAAGCTCCGTTTGGTTTTAGATCGTTTCAAATTGCCGTTGGTATCGTAATCATAAAGGTTACCATCGGTCTTAACAAAATGTTGTTGATCATAGTTCTGGGTCTTGATGTTGAATGGATGCATCGCGACATCCTGGTACTTCTTAGGGAGTTTGTTGAACTCTTCGATGATCAGTTGATTGTAAAGCTTATTCATCGTCTCAACGGCTTCTACTTTAACTTCAACCTATTCGACTGGCTCTGGTTTGACTGCTTCGGGTTTGATTGGTTCGGGTTTGACTGCAGCAACAGCCGGAAGGTTCGTCGACGCGCCAATGCTGAACTTCGAAGGCGTCAAGTTACCAATCTTGTTCATATCGCTAATTGCGAAGATCGCGTTTTCATAAGCGTGACGTTTGATTGCGTCGATTCGATTGTTCTGATCAACTTGATGTTGCAACGCTTGGAGTCGTTTCTTACGTTCACTCAAACTTGAGAATGATGGAAACATGGTTTCGATGTTACGTTGTTTGCTACGTTGTTCTTCAATGAAGTCGTTATATTTAAGTTGAGAAACTCTATCGAGAATTCATAATTAAATGTAGAATCATGATCGTGCGATCAATATACGATGAGCAAGAAGAAGAGCTCAACCGCCAGTTTGCTCGCTAAGTTCATCATCGATGAAACGTTCACGAAGCCTCCAAAAGTCGTGTTCGATTCTGTGAAAGCCAATACGTTTCCAATGAGCGGTTACAATTACATGGCCGACGCCTTATACTTACCAACGACGAAACGTAAATACAAATACCTATTAACGATGATCGATATCTGGTCGAACATTATTGAGTTCGAGCCGATCAAAAATAAGCAAGCGTAAACTGTCTTAGATGCAATGAAGACGATCTTTAAACGAGACATCATGCCGAAGCCACAAGCATCGATTCGAACTGATGGCGGTAGTGAATTCAAAGAAGTCTTTCACAAGTACTTGTACGATCGAATCGATCTTGCATCGAGTCTCTGAACCGTACCGCCATAATCAGCTTGCCAATGTGGAGCGTCTAAATCGTACGCTTGGTCGATTCCTCAATGGATACGTGAATGCACAGGAACTCAAAACTGGGAAAGTGTACTGAAAATGGACCGATATCATTGACGAACGGCGCGAAGGCTTGAACGACTCTACGATCAAGCTTGACGATCGCGATCCATTCACGTATCCGTTCCCAAAAGTCAAGACGAGTAGCAAGTTCAAAGTCGGCGACTCGGTTGACTACAAGAGCGAAGTTCCATTGAACACGTTGAATGGACGGCAGAACACGAAGCAGTTTCGTACTGGTGACGTTCGCTACAAACTGAGCGCAAAAAAAATCATTTCGATCGTTTACTATCCGAACAACGTTCGTTACATTCTAGATGGTAAGCCGAATGTGTCGTATGCCGAGAGTGAGTTGATCAAAACATCTTGAGACTGTTACCGACAATTGTAGCGTCACGACCACTCATATCATCTTTCTTGCTGAACATGAATGCATCGATCTCGACGTTGCCTTCATACGTAATCGAGTCTGTCATGATGCGATTGACCTTATCAGCGTTCTTTAGAACAAGGTTCGCCATGATGCGACGACAATGCGAGAGCAGGAACGGTTTGATACGGAATTGATGCTTGAAATAAGGTTTACTTTTATCGCCAAGCTTGTAGAACGTGAATCCATTAGATTGCGTAAGGATCTCCCGCAAGTAGTAACGAGCATCATCGTCGTCGAGGTTCGGGCTGAACTCGATTCCTTCATTCCCAATTTGTTGTTCGCTCTTGATGATTGTGTTGGTCGATACGAGATGACCCCAAGCGCTTCTAGCGAGATGCTTAATGAGCTTGTTCTTTGGGAATGCAAGCTTGAACGTCTGAAGAATTGAATACCAATTGCGAAACACTGAGGATGATTCCACGAGATGCTTTTTATCATATTTCAAGCAAGTGTTACTCATGAGTGTAAGCGCGACCGAGCCGCCATGATGTTTGTTGTAGACTTGTAGACGTTCATCACGAAGTTCAAACTCGTGTGCGTGTAGTGGTCTTTTTTGCTGAATGCAAACAACTTCTCGAAGCGCTTGTCGCCGTTGCTCTCAACCTTGACGTGGTATATACCATAGGCGAAGCCACCAGCTGGGATTCAAGTTGATCTTCCCAACCTTCCCCGCCTTGGTCGGAAATTCGAATCGATGCGCGTCAGTAGTTGCCTTGATGCCGAGCGTTGATGGGTAGAACATCTTTCTGTCGTATGTAGTCACTTCCTCGTATGTCCCCGGCTGGTCGTACCAATCGGCTTCGACGAGTGAGATCGTGTCATATTGCGTAACATCTGCTCGATGGTACTTCATAAACAGATGGACCATATTAGCATGGTTAAGGAAGCCTAAGCGACGTAGTCGTCGACGTAATGCATGTGGGTGTCAACTACGCCGCCTTGCACTTTCGTTCGACGTAATGCATGTATGCCATATGTAAATTTACATTCATTCGACCAGATAAACCGAGCTGCTTTTATCATCAATGCAGCTCAGTTTGTCGGGTCGAAGGCTGACACGGTCGAGTGTGCTTGGTACCGGTGGAACGGCGCCGAGTGGTCTTTCCGGACGTCGTATACGATCACGGTCATGACCTCCTTCGAGGTGAGACGAGGGTGCTGGGGTTGTGGGGGTGCCATACCATCGACTTGACGTCCGTCGAGAGCGAGAAATTGGAGAACGCTTGCAGCGCGGCCGTCCAGCACGACGAGGCTGCCATAGAACGACGCGCTGGTGATGATTACATGTCCAGGTTCCACTTGACGCTCTGCACATTGTCCGTGTGATGGGCAATCATCAAATCCAGCAGCAAGATATGCGGTGCATGTACACTATGCAACGCATAACTTGCTGCTGGCTTTGATGATTGACAGTAATACAGTAGTGAATTCTCCACCCCCAATGCTGATAGCTGTGGTGAAAATACTCTTGTGGATGCCGAGCATTTGCTGGAACATTGCGCATAACTCAACTACCGGTATAATTGTTGTTTATTGTTAGATCATACATGATGCATTCGGTGAATCTTTGTCATTACAGGTATGGCAGTCAGTCATAAAGCAAACATAACTGCATTCACGACACTAGTAGATCGTTCTACAATTTCGTATTTAACGATAACTATAGTGCTTCTTTTTCATTTATGTAAACTACTGTACTTGAACCAACAGAACAATCTGAATGCGGTAATTGTGAAAGAGCAGGGAAACAAAACTGCAAGTACTTAATATGACCATTGAATACCTATTCAGTCACTTAAGTACTTAGTACATACACGCTCACTGATTATAGGAAATGCTGTAGCAAGGTTAGTTAATGTAACATGTAGCATTAAGTCGATGGTAAGTCGATGGGCGAGTACGCAGCACACTATAGGAACTCGTACGCAGCCAATATCTGCGCGCAGATTGCGAGCTCCAGTGAAAGGCATGGGGATAGTGAACACACGAGGGGGTGATACGTCCGTCTGTTGCTGTAAGGTCGCTTTCGCTCCCGGAGCTCCAATCGTTCCGCCTTCTTCTGTGCTCACGGTGATGTCTTCCGGGAGAGGCACGGGGCGCGGTTGCGCATCCGGCCCGTGCCTCTTGTCGGAGGGAGGTAGCATCCTGGCCTCTGTCTGCAACCTGTCTTCAGGGCGCTCCTGTATCCCGCCCTCTTGTAGTATTTCCTTGTACGCAAAGCCCGGGACTCCCTTCGTTTGCGGGGGTCGACTCGCCATGCCATTCTTCGTATCGTCGCCCAGTCCCGGAGCAGTCCAGGGTTCGATTGTCGCCGAGTCCCGTACCACCCCGGGGGAGGTATCTTCCATCTTGTTTGAGCCCTGTGAACCTTCTTCATCCTACGGAGAGGGCGAGGATATCCCAGGGCTATGTGTACTTTGTTTGTAATATCTTCGGAGGTCATTTGTAATCTCGCGGTCAGTGCTACGCCACATCCGGCGGCTTGGTTCAGACTGCTGAGTCCTCATTGCTTATCGGAGGCGGGGCTGCCTTCCGTGGATTTCTTGTTGTCCGACATATACCAGGATTGTAGAGCAACCATGACGTGAGCCGGCATAGAGCTCTGCTTGGACGTGTTTACCGGACAACACCAGCTCAAATGGCCCATCTTCCCACAGGTGTAACAGGTTGCATTTCCTCCTCGTCCTCCGGGTCCTGATCCTCCTCCGGGTCCCGTTCGGGTTTGTCCCGGGCCCCGACCTCCGTTGTCCCGGGACAGGCTGCACTCCGATAGTCCGTGACCTTTGGAGCGGCACCGATTACAGAACCACGACAACTGAGGACACTGTTCACGAGAGTGGCCCGCATGGTACACCTCCCGCAAATTACTTCACCCGACTTAGTTTCGTCGTCCGGATCCATGCAGATACGGGGCTGTACCGGGTTGTTTCCTGCCGGGTTGTCCGTAGAGATCATGGCGACGACATCTTGGATGGAGGAAAACTGGTCGTTGTTAGAGGTAGTCAAGCTCGTCATGTCCCGTTGAAGTCGTGAGATGGAGGACTGGAGCTCCTGGCGATTTCCATTGGGCGTCAAAGAGGATTGGGTCCGGGACGTGTTCCGAGTGGACCTGGTCGGCGTCGACGGAGCCACCGGTTTCGTCCGGGGGGCTGATCGGGAACCATCCGTTCGTCTGTCGATGTCCACATCTCGCTCAATCAGGTAGTCCAGGCTGATTTCGATAGTCTCAGGTCGAACAGAGGCTCCCCAGAGACACGCGGCCACTTCCGCATCGCTACATCCATTGATCATCATAACCATGGCCCTATTGGCCTGCAACCCAGCCTCCCGGGAGACGTCCACGATCCGCCATGTATACTCCCGGACGATTTCCGTAGACTTCCGGTGGGAGTTGTCAGTAATCTCGGCCATCGTTCTACTCAGTGGCTTCTGAATGAACTCCTTCCGGAAAGCCTCCCGAGCCTTCACCCAGGAGACTGGTTCGCTGTCACGGCACCGTCGAGCCCACCAGTCCTGGATGGAAAGTACCCCACAGGATGTCAGGCGGTCATCGAAGATTCGAACGACCTGGGTATCGCTGAGCCCGTACTCTTTCTGGATGGTATCAAAATTCGCCAGAAAATGTTCCAAAGGGATGGTCCGGACAACACAATCGAACTTGGGCGCGTACTTCCGAGCATCGGACATAGCCTGACGTGAAGCCGAATGGGGCTCCAGGGGTGAGTTGGGCTGTCCGGGACCAGTGCCATCTCCTCCGAGGCCGCCTCCTGGAGGGCCAGGAGGACCACCGTAGTACCCTCCGCATCCTCCACCACCAGGAGGTCCCGGAGGGCCACCTCGGCCACCGAAGGGTTCACCATAATCACCTCCATTCGGTCCACTTCCAGGAGGTACGGGAGGATTCGTTCGACCTCAGTAACCACCCCCGTAGTCGCCCCGGGGCTGCAAACCTCCACCACCGGGTTCTGGACCATAGGAGGCCGGAGGGGCATACCCCGACCTGGTATCCCGAGGGGATGGCTGCGTGTACCCTGCTCCGACCGGCTGGTCATAGGCCCCTGAGAACGGGTACGAGCCTGCATCGCGGTTGGGTCGTGACATGGGAGCCGCCGTCGGCACAAACGGTAGCGGCGTGGTGTCCCGGACCGTAAACGTTGGTGGCATCCGGAGCGAAGCTGATTCTGTCAGCACCTCTGTCTGCTGCATAAAACAGGTTTGGTCGAAGGCTCGGCGAGGCGTAGACATGTTTGAGCGGGTGGTCGGGAGCAAGGGTGCCGTAGTAAACGTAGTATGCGTGATCCCGCTTCCTTTTGACGGAGACCCCATCCGGGACAGAGTCGGGATCCCATATGTCGCATACGGGGCATAGTTCGTCTTCTGAGGCGTCCTTTGTTGGAGATCCACAGCTCTTGTTCCACTTGTAGCTGGACCCGCTGGCGTTCCAACTCCGCATACGCACGGCTCAGGGTGAGGTCCTGGACCGACCGAGGGTAGCTTCTTGATCCCTCAACTGCAATTTCTCCGTTTCCAAACAGGAGCGCGCTTCCTCTACTTGGCGCAACACCTCTTCGTTGGCGTGCCTCTCCCGTTCCAGCTGATCCCTTCTCTCGGGTGAGGGATCTTCTCCGGACTGAGCGCGTTCTTGGGTATTTGTCATGAACTGCTCCTGAACCAACTGTTCGAGGTCCTGGCGGCGTCCTTGTTCCGAAAGCAGGGTCTGTTCGTACCGATTCTGCTCGGTCAGGATAGACTCCTGGAGTTCCCGGACCGTCTCGTTGCTCTCCCGGAGACGCCGATGCTCTTCTTCCCAGACTCGTTCCATCCTTTGGCGTCGCTGTACTTCCTCTTCCAGACTCTGTTCCCGCTCCCGTAATGCTTCGCGGAGGTCCCGTTTTTCCTTTTCTAGGATCTACCAAATTTTCACAGGCGACGTTCGCAGACTCCCGGAAAGAGAGGTCCCGGAGGGCCTCCTGTACCGACTCGAGTTCAGAAGCCTTCGACTAGACCTCGTCCCGGGCCGAAGCCAGGTCCCGGTCATACTGGGACTGAAGTAGGTCATAATCAACCCCCTTCGATGTGTCCTCGTCACGGGCAGCTTCCCGTACTGGTAGGATTTCCTCGTGATGGTTCCGCTAGAGGGTCCGGAGTTCTTCCCGGAGACTGGACAAGATGCCGTCGTCCCGGCGGCACACTTCGAGAACCCGTTCCGCATCCTTCTGGACCCGGTACAGGACTTCTTCATGCAGGCGACGGGCCACCAGGAGGTCGGAGTCCTTGTCCCGTACCAGGAGGGCTTCACGCTGTTCCCATTTCAGAGCCCGTTGTTGTTCCAGTTCCCTGGTCCGGTCCTCCCAGGAGAGAGCATTCTTTTCCGCTTCCCGGCGCAGAGCCTCGTTCGCTTCGTTGGTTACCTGAGCCCAGGCAACCTCCAGTTCCCGAGTATAGCAGTCCTGGAGGTAGGTGAGGGTCTTCTGGAACTCATCCTGGCGGCGACTTTCATGGGTTTCCGCTGCCCATAGCAATCCTTCGGTTATCTCTACCAACCGGGATTCCTGAACACCCAGTGAACGAGCACGGTCCTCGTTGGCTTGTTGGAAAAACAGTAGGGACGCCGTTCGTTGTTGCTCTTCAATGCCCCGAATGAATTCTTCATAGGCCTTCTGGATGAATCCCTCCGGTGGCCACTGTGATCATGGCTACGATGGTATTTCCTGGTACTCCGGGACCGTTCCAGGTAGGCGTCCCGGTAGGCGTTCCTGCTACCGTACCCCCGTACCCCTCTTGGACTAGGGAGGTGTATCCGGGAGCTGGAACAGGTATCGAATAGCGCTCTAAGGTTTCGGCATCGGACTCACGACCATCGGTACCGGTTCTGGCCAGGGGAGTCGTAGGCACCAAGGCCAGGTCTGCCGCCGATGCCAGCACCGGTCTCTTCAACGGTGACCGCGTCTCTGGACGGTCGGTCGGGGGCGACACTTTTGGCGACCCGTCAGTTTCCCGCTTCCATCCTGGAGTCGATACTCGGTCGCCGTCGTCGGGACCAGGCCCGTGGCCAGAGGCTGCTTTCGTAGTATGTGTTCGCTGTCCAGGAGTCCAAATCCGGGGCACCTCCCGCCAGACGGTGTGATTGGCGCACCGGCACCGCTGTCGTCGTGGGTTCTCTGTCGACACCTTTCCTTTCTTCTTCCGCGCTTCCTTTGCAAACACCTACCCTGCTGCTCCACCAGAATGTTGCGGGGTTTCACGACAAATCGAATGGGTAGGTGCGGCGTAGGCAAGCGTGGAAAACACCAAACACGTAGTTCAGGGCAAAATCTAAAGTCGAGTTAGTTGGTTTAGCTTCAAAGAAAGGAGTATGACTAATGGATAATCCAGGTCCAGGACGTCCGGAGTCTGGTCCGGGAGCACTTGATAAACATCGTCAAACCAGCTAAGTACAAATGCGGCATTTTCTCCGTTCGGCAAGTACAGTACATGATTGTACTAGAAGTATTAATTTAAATTCACGTAGCTACGACCTTTAGCTACGTGACTAAGATCCGATATCCTTTTAGGAGGCAGTTTAGTAGTACTTCGTAGTACAACTCTTCACGACATGCCGTGTAGCTACTAGTACAATGAGATTGTTGCATTCTACACTTACTCCATACTCCGGAGTACTTGGGGAAGGGGACATCGATGAAGCATTTGGTCTAAAAGAGAAGTTGGTCGTGCTGATGCGAGGTATAATGGATATCGTTGTAAATTATGGTCTGTATGTGGATTTCAAGGGAAGTTGGAAGCAGATCTGCAACCACACCTCAGCTATGCTGTCATTCTGCTGCTTCTACAGTGTAGCTACGATATCGAATCTCCATGAAGTAGCTACAGCTCATAGCTACGTGAATTTAAATTAATACAATCATGTACTTACCGAACGGAGAAATGCCGCATTTGTACTTCCCAACCGATTAACTCTGTATTTGACTATGTTGAGCAGCAGTACTTTTGTATATTGTTTTAGATTATATAACTATTCCGGATAGCATAGGTCTGGAGGGTGATATCTTGACGCGATCGACTGTTGATTTCGATCACCACATCATTAGGCCCTGGTCGAGGAAAATTCCTGGACGATTATTCAACCCTGAACGGTTTATTATCCGGCTCAATTTATCCGACGTATGCCTGGGGTATTTTCTCGTGTCCAGGGAAGTCCTTCCACGGCAACGAAGTGACGTACAGCTTGATAAGCGAAATGGCTCGATGCGGATAATACGTGGTATACGTTGTAGCGCCAATTTGAGGTACCATATACGACCATCGCATGCCACCGCTGCGTCGCTTCTATCACCTTACGGTCGCATCC